AAAATAGAAGATTAGCTGTTATGCAGACTAGTGCATTATTGTAATTGTATAAATAATGTCAACCCATTCTTGACTGCGTATTGGAATTTGGACTGGCAGGCGGACAGGTATTGGACGGTGATGTCATTTGTTTACTTGAGCATCGCTAAAGAATTAAACTTTTCTGCTACTGTGAGCGCAATTTCAAGGTACTTTTCGTCATAAAAGCAATCAAAATCATATCTATTTCTGTAACATATCTTCCATTCTATCAAATGAGACCGAAAAAACGAGAATTATTTTTATTATTATTTATTATCACACTGGCCGATTCCCACCAAGGCAGGGTGGCCCGAAAAAGAAAAACTTTCACCATCATTCACTCCATCACTGTCTATATAACCATAGAAACCATACAAAAATATACCGCTAAGCGGCCGCTAATAGCTGAGAAGTGAACTCCGCTATTTATGGTCTGATTTCTTTCATTTTTGGTGTACATTAAGAAGTATCTTTCCATCACACATTGCCCAAGTTTCAATAAGATAACCCAACAAACAAATGAGAAAATAACAATAATAATAATAATAATGTTATGAATGAGAAGAAGCTGGATGTCCTGGCTTTAAGTGAAACAAAGCTGAAGGGGGTGGGAGAGTTTCAGTGGAGAGGAATAAATGGGATTAGGTCAGGGGTTTCAAATAGAGTTAGAGCTAAAGAAGGAGTAGCAATAATGTTGAAGGATAAGCTATGGCAGGAAAAGAGGGACTATAAATGTATTAATTCAAGGATTATGTGGAGTAAAATAAAGATTGGATGTGAAAAGTGGGTTATAATAAGCGTGTATGCACCTGGAGAAGAGAGAAGTGTAGAGGAGAGAGAGAGATTTTGGGAAATGTTGAGTGAATGCGTGGGGAGTTTTGAATCAAGTGTGAGAGTAATGGTGGTTGGGGATTTCAATGCTAAAGTGGGTAAAAATGTTATGGAAGGAGTAGTAGGTAAATTTGGGGTGCCAGGGGTAAATGTAAATGGGGAGCCTTTAATTGAGCTATGTATAGAAAGAAATTTGGTAATAAGTAATACATATTTTATGAAAAAGAGGATAAATAAATATACAAGGTATGATGTAGCACGTAATGAAAGTAGTTTATTAGATTATGTATTGGCGGATGAAAGGTTGATGGGTAGGCTCCAGGATGTACATGTTTATAGAGGGGCAACTGATATATCGGATCATTATTTAGTTGTAGCTACAGTTAGAGTAAGAGGTAGATGGGAAAAGAGGAAGGTGGCAACAACAAGTAAGAGGGAGGTGAAAGTGTATAAACTAAGGGAGGAGGAACTTCGGGTGAGATATAAGCGACTATTGGCAGAAAGGTGGGCTAGTGCAAAGATGAGTAGTGGGGGGGTTGAAGAGGGTTGGAATAGTTTTAAAAATGCAATATTAGAATGTGGGGCAGAAGTTTGTGGTTATAGGAGGGTGGGGGCAGGAGGAAAGAGGAGTGATTGGTGGAATGATGAAGTAAAGGGTGTGATAAAAGAGAAAAAGGTAGCTTATGAGAGGTTTTTACAAAGCAGAAGTGTTATAAGAAGAGCAGAGTATATGGAGAGTAAAAGAAAGGTAAAGAGAGTGGTGAGAGAGTGCAAAAGGAGAGCAGATGATAGAGTGGGAGAGGCACTGTCAAGAAATTTTAATGAAAATAAGAAAAAATTTTGGAGTGAGTTAAACAAGTTAAGAAAGCCTAGGGAAAGTATGGATTTGTCAGTTAAAAACAGAGTAGGGGAGTTAGTAGACGGGGAGATGGAGGTACAGTGGTCCCTCAATAATCGTCCGGCCTGAAAGTCATCCATTTCGGAAATAGTCCTGTTTTTTCGTCAAAATATTGGCTCGGAAATGGTCCGGTAACTCGCTAATAGTCCTTCGTCCCAGACGCGTATGCACGGTCTGAGCGGGCTCGAGCCGCCTCAGCCTTTCCTTCCCAGCCAGTGTGCCATTGTTTACCAGTGAGCGACGGTCCCCTCACGTGCTCCAATGAAATATTTCATAATATTTCATTTATTTTAGTGCTTGCAAGTTATTTAAGTGCTAAATAAGCTACCATGGCTCCAAAGAAAGCTCCTAGTGCCAAGCCTTTGGTAAAGAAGGTGAGAAATACGATTGAATTTAAGAAAAACATCATTGAACAATATGATAGTGGCGTACGTGTGGGCGAACTGGCCAGGATGTATAACAAATCCCGTATAACCATATCTTCCATCATAGCCAAGAAAAAGGAAATCAAGGATGCTGTTGTTGCAAAGGGGGTAAATATGCTGACAAAAATGAGATCACCAGTATTCGAAGATGTTGAGAAGTTATTATTGGTGTGGATAAATGAGAAACAATTAGCAGGAGACAGTATTATGACGTCGCTTATTTGTGAAAAGGCTAGGCAGTTGCATGACTATTTGGTAAAGAAATTGCCTGCAACTAGTGATGATGTGAGTGAATTTAAGGCTAGCAAAGGCTGGTTTGAGAGATTTAAGAAGCGTACTGGCATACACAGTGTGGTAAGGCATGGTGAGGCTGCCAGTTTGGACCACAAGGCGGCTGAAAAATATGTGCATGAATTCCAGGAGTACATAAACAGTGAAGGACTGAAACCTGAACAAGTGTTCAATTGTGACAAAACAGGCCTCTTTTGGAAGAAAATGCCAAAGAGGACCTTCATTACACAAGAGGAAAAGGCAATGCCAGGACACAAGCCTATGAAAGACAGGCTGACGCTAATGTTCTGTGCTAATGCTAGTGGGGATTTCAAAGTGAAGCCATTACTAGTGTACCATTCTGAAAATCCCAGAGTGTTCAGGAAAAACAATGTTATGAAGAGTAAATTGTGTGTGTTTTGGAAATCTAATAGTAAGGCATGGGTCACGAGGGAAATTTTTGTAGAGTGGTTCAACGAAGTGTTTGGCCCTAGTGTGAAGAATTACCTCCTGGAAAAGAAATTGGATCTCAAGTGCCTCCTAGTAATGGACAATGCACCTGCTCATCCTCCAAACTTGGATGACCTAATTTTCGAGGAGTTTGGGTTCATCACAGTAAAGTTCTTGCCCCCGAATACCACTCCTCTCCTCCAACCCATGGACCAGCAGGTCATTGCAAACTTTAAAAAACTCTACACCAAAGCAATGTTTGAAAGGTGCTTGAATGTGACCTCAGACACTCACTTGACCCTACGAGATTTTTGGAAAGAACATTTCAGTATTCTCCATTGTGTAAGCCTTATAGGTAAGGCTTGGGAGGGAGTGACTACCAGGACTTTGAACTCTGCTTGGAGAAAATTGTGGCCAGATTGTGTCCACAAGAGGGATTTTGAAGGGTTTGGGGCTGGCCCTGATGAGCCTATGTCAGTTGTTAAATCCATTGTGGCACTGGGGGCTTCCATGGGGTTGGATGTGAGTTTGGAGGATGTGGAAGAGTTGGTGGAGGACCACAACAAAGAGCTAACCACTGAGGAGCTGCAAGAGCTTCAGCAGGAACAGCAACAGATGGCAGCTCTGAATTTTGCTGCAGAGGAGGAGGAAGAGAGATGGAGGAAGGTGCCTTCTTCAGAAATTAAGGAGATTTTTGAAATGTGGGGTAGGATGGAAAGATTTATGGAGAAACATCACCCAGAGAAGGATGTTGCAAGCCATATCAGCAACTTGTACAGTGACAGAGTCTTGGCCCATTTCAGGGAAGTTTTAAAGAGACGCCAGAAACAGAGCTCTCTGGACAGTTTTTTTGCGAGACAGGACTCCAGTGACTCTCAAGGTGGTCCTAGTGGCATTAAGAAACAGAGAAGAGAAGTAACCCCAGAAAAGCAATTGGTACCCGAGGTGTTGATGGAAGGGGATTCCCTTTCCGAACAGTAAATCATCCAATCTGTCTCCTTCTCCAGTCTTCCATAAACAAAGAAGAATCGCCAATAAAGGTAAGTGTTATGCTGTTAATGTTTCATTCATCATGTGCCACTGTATTGTTTATGTACTACATCTATATTTCATGTAAAAAAAATTTTTGTTTTAATACTTCTGGGTGTCAGGAACGGATTAATTGAATTTACATTATTTCTTATGGGGAAAATTGATTCTTAAATCGTCCATTTCGATAATAGTCCCACTTCTAGGAATGGATTTTGGACGATTATTGAGGGACCACTGTATATATATATTTATATATATTTAACTAACATGGTAGGAATATTTTTCATGAACAGTGACTTGGTGGTTTCACTTTCTGAAAAGTGCTAAGACGATCTAGCACAATCTAATTATGTTCTGATGACAGTCTACTGTACAGTAAACCCTCATGTAAAGCAAAATTGAATTACACAGTTTTGTTTTAATGTTGTTGAAAAATGGTGACCAAAATATCATAGCTCATGGAAATGCTTGATTTTACATGTTGTAAATTAAAAAAAAAATAAGTAGAATGTGTAGAATTTGGGTAGTTCCTATGTAGATTTACTCAGTCTTTTACTGGGCCACACACAGCAAGAGAGCATAGATGGAAGCTAAAGGCACAAATGTGTTAGTGACTGAAGGATGTAGTACTTCTTCAGTCTGATGATGGCTTGTAAGCAGAATGACATGAATGAAGTGGTACTGAAGGCTGATTCCATACACAGTTTAAGGAACAAGTATTGTCCTACAAAACCAAGAATTTAGAGATTCATGAGTAATTAAGATATAGAGCCAGAAGTCAAAACTAAATACCACCAGCTACAACCAGTAGATCATTATTTTAGGGGTAGATCTTGTATATGACACAATTATAAAGATTTTCAACTTGAATATTTATCAAGAGTATGTTAATGCTGAATGTAGCAGTTACAATGCCTCTCCAGTAATTAAAAATTCCAGAAGTTGGAACTCGCTGAAGTGTTCAATATATTTTTCTAAAAATAAAAAATTACCTTTCATCTTTTACAAAATTTTATATCTGTTGTTATTTTGATAGAAGAGCTTGCAATTTACTTTCTCTAACTTTTTTTCAGAGCACAACTTATCATTAATACCAGTTAATGATGGACTTCGACATCGACCACGTAGCTGTTGGGGTATTGTTTTCCTCAACACAGAGCTCTGTCATGCTCAAATTCGGCTGCAGAGTGTCCTGAAAGACTACACATGCTTCCCAAATGAAGAACAACAGGTATTTTTTGGTTTATATTGTAATAGTGAAGAGCTTCATTTCTTAATTTTTGATTTTGAAAGAACTTTTGGAAATTATTCTATTTACGTGTTCATTTCCTTGTGTTTTAGTAGAAAATCTTTTTTCTTAGTACATTTTATAAACTAAGCTGTCCTTCTTGCTCTTCTTTATTTTCTGAAGAAAGTTTTCATGTGATACTTGATGATGAACTCAAAATTTATACTTTCTTTTTTAATTTCAGGAACCGTTATCTCAGCCAGTTGAAAAATTCTATTTCTTGAATGTGAGTAAAGTGGCTTATATGCGAGAAACTTTAACCCCAACACCTTCAGGAGCCAGCCATGACCCAAACCAGCGTGAGACACCAAATCACCGCCTTGTAGTATATGGCCTTAAGGTAATGACTCTGTTTATGATTAATTTATTTTTCCCTCCCCTTGTGTGTTATGTATTTGGTTTTAATAAGTACCAAACAGTCTCTGCAATAAAAATCTTTTCCAAGAAATGCAAAATAAAAAAATTATGGCAGTTGAGTAACAAAATATTTTCTTATTTCCAGCCATGTAAAGAAAATGAATTAGAAATAGTGGCACATCTGGCATCACCCAACTCTGATAAATGTGACATAGTAGTGCTGCACTCTCTCAGTAACCCACAGACCATGGTAGAGGAAGGCATTGTTACACACTCATTTCAACCCCCCATCCTTTTTTCTTTTTTTTTTTAATGCACTGGCCATCTCCCACTGAGGTAGGGTGACCCAAAAAAGAAGAAACACTTTTGCCATCATTGATTATCACTGTTGAGTCAGAGAGTAGTGAGTGGAGGCAAATGATTTTTGAGACTTGACAAAGTAACATATATGAATTATTTCATATATGTTACCTTCCTCACATATATGAAAGAATTCAGAGAAACTAGTTAGCTGGACTTGAGTCCTGGAGATGGGAAGTACAGTGCCTGCACTTTGAAGGAGGGGGTGGGGATATTTACAGTTTAGAGGAGCATCTGAAATGTAGTATTGGTGTGCCTCTGGCAAGACAATGATGGAGTGAATGATGGTGAAAGAGTTTCTTCTTTCTTTAGGTCATCCTACCTCAGTGGGAGACGGCTGGTGTGTTAAAAACAAAACATAGGAAGTTGTTAAAAAGCTGAAAAATGATAATGATGGCAGACAATTAACGATATTAGTTTTCCGTGTTAAAAGCACTGAAATAAGGAAACTGTTCTAGTGGTTTGTAACTCATACAGCTCAACTTATACCAAGTGCTAATAATTACCATTTACAACGGGCTTGTACCTATTTTAGAATTGAATGTTAATCTCAAAGGTTGTTGGTTTAAAAATTTTTTTTTTTTTTTTTTTTTTTCAACAAGTCGGTCGTCTCCCACCGAGGCAGGGTGACCCAAAAAAAGAAAGAAAATCCCCAAAAAGAAAATACTTTCATCATCATTCAACACTTTCACCACACTCACACATTATCACTGCTTTTGCAGAGGTGCTCAGAATATAACAGTTTAGAAGCATATACGTATAGAGATACACAACATATCCCTCCAAACTGCCAATATCCCAAACCCCTCCTTTAAAGTGCAGGCATTGTACTTCCCATTTCCAGGACTCAAGTCCGACTATATGAAAATAACCGGTTTCCCTGAATCCCTTCACTAAATATTACCCTGCTCACACTCCAACAGATCGTCAGGTCCCAAGTATCATTCGTCTCCATTCACTCCTATCTAACACGCTCATGCACGCTTGCTGGAAGTCCAAGCCCCCTCACCCACAAAACCTCCTTTACCCCCTCTTTCCAACCCTTTCGAGGACGACCCCTACCCCTCTTTCCTTCCCCTATAGATTTATATGCTTTCCATGTCATTCTACTTTGATCCATTCTCTCTAAATGACCAAACCACCTCAACAACCCCTCTTCTGCCCTCTGACTAATGCTTTTTATTAACTCCACACCTTCTCCTAATTTCCACACTCCGAATTTTCTGCATAATATTTACACCACACATTGCCCTTAGACAGGACATCTCCACTGCCTCCAACCGTCTCCTCGCTGCTGCATTTACCACCCAAGCTTCACATCCATATAAGAGTTTTTGGTACTACTATACTTTCATACATTCCCTTCTTTGCCTCCATAGATAACGTTTTTTGACTCCACATATACCTCAACGCACCACTCACCTTTTTTCCCTCATCAATTCTATGATTAACCTCATCCTTCATAAATCCATCCGCCGACACGTCAACTCCCAAGTATCTGAAAACATTCACTTCTTCCATACTCCTCCCCAATTTGATATCCAATTTTTCTTTATCTAAATCATTTGATACCCTCATCACCTTACTCTTTTCTATGTTCACTTTCAACTTTCTACCTTTACACACATTCAGTTATTGTGCTTAATTTTTGCATTGAGGAGTTGTTCATTTCAATGAGCTTTAAAATTTCATTAACCTCTTTCAGGGTCAGGACCCCTGCTCTGAAACTTTCTCTCAGGGTCAGGGCCCCTGCTCTGAAACTTTCTCTCAGGGTCAGGACCCCTGCTCTGAAACTTTCTCTCAGGGTCAGGACCCCTGCTCTCAGACTTGCTCTCAGGATCGGAAATCTAAAAAAAAAAAGTTATTTTTTCTTATGAACTGGTAAAGAATCTTTTTCTGAAAGCAATAAAACAAGAAGTACAAAATTTGATGGAAAACCGATGAGTAAATTTTGCTGTGTCAGCATTACTTGCTCATCGGCGATTTCGCCCGCTTTGAGTTCGATTTTAGGCCAATTACATTGTTCCAGTCGAGCAAATTGTTAGCTATTTCACTAGTATGCCTTCCATTTTATCGACTGAGTGCAAGAAACCACCCATTCAATTATTTCAACTACCCAGTAAAGTAATCAGAAATTGGTAATGTGACCAATTTCACACAAAATTTAAGAAATCCCAGTTTCAAAATAGGATCCAGAATAAATAGTGCAGACATTCTTGGCACTAAAATAACATTTCCTCATTTCATTAGTTATGTTCCAAGGCCTCTCCTATATTACACATTAATTCCATTTGGAATTTTTATTCAGACAAAAAATAGAATATTTACTGTTATGCTGACTGCTGCATTATTGTAATACGTAATTATATAAATAATGTCAGTGCATTCATAAATGCATATTAAACTGACCAGATGGATACTTACTGGACTAGTGACATCATTTGTGTACTCTGGAATATTGGCAAAAATTGAACATTCCCACTATTTTGAGCTCAATTTCAACTACTTTCAATTCTGAAACCAATCAAAATCAAATCTATTTCTGTCATATATCTTTCATTCTATCAAATGAGACCAAGAAACCTACAATACAACCATAAAAACTCTATGAAAATGCACCACAAAGTTGGTGTTTTTAACCAAAAACATGGTCACAGTTTTTTTTTTATTCCTCTTATGCACTGCTTGCTGCAGGCTTTTTTTTTGTGTTGCACATTTACCACATAGACCCATTCTTTCACATCTGGCCCAAATTTACTACTCACAGCTTATCTGAGTGAACTATGAGACTGACCCTGGTTTCAGTGCCATAGTTCTATGGTACCAACTCTCAGAGTATTAATATTTATCAACCTTACAGCAGTAATAATTAGTACAGTTTTCCTGGAATGGATGCTAAGGTTAGCTAGCTTTGCTGATACTTTGTTTTGTGTGTGAAATACTAATCCCACTAGTGTTGTCATTCAGTACAAGGAGTGATGATGGCTTGTAAGACAGCCACACTACCTAACCTAGCAGTCAAAGGACCAGTTCTGCTAATAATTTCTGAGAAATATCTCAAAGAATCAAGGGGTGCAAAATACAAATAAAAATAATTTTTCTTTTGTGTATTATACAGGTAATGTAGTTTACATATAATAAAATATTGCTAGGCACAAAAGAAAGCCACTTGCATTCCAAAAGCAAGCACTTTCTTTTGCTCAGTTTAGCATCAGTGGCAACAGTGTGTTCATAATACTGAGGGGATGATACCAAAGTTTTTTTGCCAATATTGGTACTGATACTCAATTTTAGGTTGACACCTATTCCATCAAAATTAGCCAATGCCCATAGATAATATTACCATCAAAATTGTCCAGTTTTGATTCTCAGTTTTAAGCCAGAACCCAATACCGATGCCATCAAAATTTGCCACTAGCCAATGTTACTTATACTTTGGCACACTCTTAGTTCGTAAGAGATGATATTGTAAAGTAGAAGTTAATACAGTTTCCTAGTAATGTAATTACATAACATCAGGTTAATTTTTGTCTGCAGTCTTATTGATAACCAAGTCAATCATGAAAAAAAAAAAATATGAAAATAGTTTACAATACAAACAAGTTGATGATTAAGATACAAGTGCAATATTTGGTCCTCTTTATAATTGAAATGTTTTGCCTACACAGTAGACTGCTTCTGTTAAATACACAAGTGACTAAATATGGTGACAGCAGTAGTGGTGAGGTAAAAATTATTTTCTTTTTTTTCAACAAACCGGCCATATCCCACCAAGGCAGGGTGGCCCAAAAAGAAAAACGAAAGTTTCTCTTTTTAAATTTAGTAATTTATACAGGAGAAGGGGTTACTAGACCCTTGCTCCCGGCATTTTAGTCGCCTCTTATAACACGCATGGCTTACGGAGGAAGAATTCTGTTCCACTTCCCCATGGAGATAAGAGGAAATAAACAAGAACAAGAACTAGAAAGAAAATAGAAGAAAACCCAGAGGGGTGTGTATATATATGCTTGTACATGTATTGGCAGTTTGGAGGGATATGTTGTGTATCTTTATATGTATATGCTTCTAAACTGTTGTATTCTGAGCACCTCTGCAAAAACAGTGATTATGTGTGAGTGTGGTGAAAGTGTTGAATGATGATGAAAACATTTTCTTTTTGGGGATTTTCTTTCTTTTTTGGGTCACCCTGCCTCGGTGGGAGACGGCCGACTTGTTAAAAAAAAAAAAAACATGTATGTGTAGTTTGACCTAAGTGTAAGTAAAAGTAGCAAGACGTACCTGAAATCTAGCATGTTTATGATACAGAAAAAAGACACCAGCAATCCTACCATCACGTAAAACAATTCCAGGTTTCCGTTTTACACTCTCTTGGCAGGACGGTAGTGCCTCCCTGGGCGGTTGCTGTCTACCAACCTACTACCTAATATTATTTGTTTTTAACTTTTAAAAAAAAAATTGTTTCCCTTAATTACTCTACTTTACAGTGTAAAGACTACCGTATTTCAGTGTATGATTATATATATTTGTTTCACAATTGCATTTTCCTTGTCAGGGTGCGTGGACAACCAACAACCGTGATATTGTCTTAGCTCTCTATGACTCGTGGGCCAAGTCCCAACAGTTACGCCGTAACCTAACCCCTGATATTATAAAGAACTACAATCCAGAGGCTTCAACACCACAGAAGCCTCGTAGCCGATCACTTACAGACAGTAGCGCCTCTCAGAGCCTTACCTCTCCAACAGCAGCACTGCAGGTATTTCATGGAGTTTTCTATATTAAAATTAGTAAGAGGTGTCCTGATCTTATTCTGTAGATGCATTCACATAACTCTTGTTCTGATCTCAGTCATGATATGAACATTTAATTATAATAAATAAGAATCTTAATCCATTTTATGAACTGCCCTGATTTGTATTCAATATATGTATATTGTGCATTCAGAATTGCTGATGGAAATGAGACCACATAATTGGAAATTTTCATAAGATGAAGGTGCATAAATTTCATTAAACCTCTGTTTGTTTTCACAGCATATTCATCAGTAACATTTATTATCTATCATCTTATGTTTGCCAAGGATCAATTTGAAAGAAAATCACTAGTCAAAGATTTATTATTAAATTGAAAAGCACTTATTTATAAAAGGTAATATATTAGTAAACATTTATTACTGTAACAGTGTTCAATAATTATTTTTTTTTTTTTTTTTTTTTCAACAAGTCGGCCGTCTCCCACCGAGGCAGGGTGACCCAAAAAAGAAAGAAAATCCCCAAAAAGAAAATACTTTCATCATCATTCAACACTTTCACCACACTCGCACATTATCACTGTTTTTGCAGAGGTGCTCAGAATACAACAGTCTAGAAGCATACACATATAAAGATACACAACATATCCCTCCAAACTGCCAATATCCCAAACCCCTCCTTTAAAGTGCAGGCATTGTACTTCCCATTTCCAGGACTCAAGTCCGACTATATGAAAATAACCGGTTTCCCTGAATCCCTTCACTAAATATTACCCTGCTCACACTCCAACAGATCGTCAGGTCCCAAGTACCATTCGTCTCCATTCACTCCTATCTAACACGCTCACGCACGCTTGCTGGAAGTCCAAGCCCCTTACCCACAAAACCTCCTTTACCCCTCTCTCCAACCCTTTCGAGGACGACCCCTACCCCGCCTTCCTTCCCCTATAGATTTATATGCTTTCTATGTCATTCTACTTTGATCCATTCTCTCTAAATGACCAAACCACCTCAACAATCCCTCTTCTGCCCTCTGACTAATACTTTTATTAACTCCACACCTTCTCCAAATTTCCACACCCCGAATTTTCTGCATAATATTTACACTACACATTCCCCCTTTAAAACAGGACATCCCTCCCTCCAACGTCTCCTCGCTGCTGCTTTACCACCCAAGCTTACCCCCTATAAAGTGGGGTTTATATATATTTTCTACTTTCCCTTCTTTGCCTCCAAGAAAACTTTTTTTTGTCCACAATAACCTCAACGCCCACCACCTTTTTTCCCCCATCAATTCATGATTAACCTCATCCCCTAAATCCTCTGCCCACACCCCTCCCAAGTACTGAAAAAATTCATTCTTCCTACTCCCCCTCCCCCCTTTGATATCCAATTTTTTTTTTCAAATCATTTTACACCCTCATCACCTTTCTCTTTTTTATGTTCACTTTCAAATTTCATTTACACAATTCCCAAACCCTTCCTAACCCCTTTCAAATTTTTCTTTGAATCTCCCAAAAAGCACAGTATCACGCAAAAAGTAACGTGTCAATTCCCATTTGAATTTGATTCCCCCAAATTTAATCCCCCCCTCCCAAACACCCAGCATTTACTTCCCCTTCAACCCCATCTATAAATATATTAAACAACCATGGTGACATTTCCATCCCTGTCTAAACCCACTTTTACCAGGGAAATAGTCTCCCCCCCCTTCTACACACCCCAAAACCCACCCCCTATCCTCATAAAAAATCTTTACGCATTTAATAAATTACCACCCTATTCCTATACTTCAACATCTGCCACTTTTCTCTCTATCCCTCATCAATGCCTTTTCTAAACCCATAAATGCAATAAAAACTTCCTATCTTTATCTAAATACTGTTCACATATATGCTTTAATGTAAACACCTGATCTAAAAATCCCCTCCCACTCTAAAACCTCTTGCTCATCCGCAACCCTAATTCTGTGTTCCCTCTAATTTTTCTTTTATAACCTACCGTAACTTTTCCCTGGATATCAGAATTTATTCCTCTAAATTTTTACAGTCTTTTTTTGCCCCCTTTCCCTTTATAAAAAGGGGACTATACATGCTCTTGCAACCCCAGGTCCCTTCCCCTTTATACATTTATTAAACAAAAGTACCAACCCTCCCATATATCCCCCCCTGCTTTTAACTTTCTGTCATGTCCCATCAGTTCCACTCTTTACCCCCTTTCTTTACTATGCCTACGTACCTCCCCCCACTTAAATTCTGCCTTTTACTCAAAAAGAGGGTATACCTCCCTGACCTGCAAAAAAATTCTGCCTCTGTTTCTTCTTAAACATTTAAAATTTCCTAAAAATATTCTCTTTATTACCCAATACCTCCATCCCCCATCAAATAACCCCCCTACTCTTTTTTTAAAAACAAACAATCCGTTTTTTCCCTAGGTTTTCTTAACTTGTTTAACTCACTCCAAAATTTTTCTTATTTCATTAAAATTTTTTTGACAGTGCCTCTCCCACTCTATCATCTGCTTCCTTTTTTGCACTCTCTCCCCACCTTCTTTACCTTTCTTTTACTCCCATATACTTGTTTCTTAAAACACTTTGCTTTGGTTTAAAAAACCTTCAAAAAGTCCCTTTTTTCTTTTTTAACACCCTTTACTTCATCTTTCCCACAATCACTCTTTTTCCTCTGCCCCCACCCCCCTAAAACCAAAACTTCTGCCCCACATTTATCCTTTTTTTAAAAAACTATCCAAACCCCTCTTAAACCCCCCACTACCATCTTTGACTACCCCCACCTTTCTGCCAATAGTCGCTTATATCTCCCCCGGAACTTCCTCCCCTTAGTTTTACATTTCCCACCTCCCCTTACTTGTTGTTGACCTTCCTTTTTTCCCCATTACCTTTTTATTTAACTGTGAAAAAACAAAATAATGACCCATATTAGTTGCCCTCTATAAACATTTACACCCTGGGCCCTACCATAAAACCTTTTCACCAAACAAAATCTAAAAAAAACTACTTTATTACGTGCTAACATCCCTTTGTATATTTATTTATCCCTTTTTCATAAAATATGTATTACTTATTCCAAAATTTTTTTTCAAATAGTAAATTAAGGCCCCCCCTTTCATTTACCCTGGCACCCCAAATTTACCTATACCCTTTCCCAAAAACTTTTTTTCCCACTTTAGCATTAAAACCCCCAACCCCCATTACCTCAATTGATTCAAAAACCCCCCACGCATTCATCAACATTTCAAAATTCTCTCTCTCCTCACACTTCTCTCTTCTCCAGGTGCTACACCTTATTAAAACCCCCTTTTTTCCACCCAATTTTTATTTTACCCAAAAACCCTTTGATTAAATACATTTTTACCCCTCTTTTCTGAATGCTTATCCTTTTCAACATTATTGCTACCCCTTCTTTAGCTCTAACTCTTTTTGAAACCCCGACCTAATCCCTTTACCTCTCCACTGAAACTCTCCCACCCCCTTGCTTTTGTTTCACTTAAAGCCAGGACTCCATTCTTTATTCATAACATCCACATAAACCTTTTTATCTCGCACAAACCCGCACATTCAATTCCCACTTTGACAATTTTCTTTTTCTTATTTTTTTAGTAATCTTTACAGGAAAAGGGGGGTTACTACCCCATTTTTCCCCGGGATTTTAGTTTGATTTTTAAAACACGCAGGGGTTACGGGGAAAAGTTCTTTTCCCACTTCCCCATGGTAAAAAGGGAAAAATTTAAAAAAGACCAAGAACTATTAAGATAAAAATCAAAGAAAACTCAGAAGGTTGATAAATAAATTTTACATTAGTGTAGTGTGACTAAGTGTAAGAAAAGTAGCAAGACATGCCGGGAAAAAGCATATTTATGAACAGAAAAAAGCATCCAACCCTCCCATCTGTAAAACAATCACGGCTTTCTTTTTACCTCATTTGGCAGGACGTAGTCCTCCCGGGGTGGTTGGGTCTACCAACCTATCCCTTTAATATTATATCCCATAAAAAATTAAAATTTTGGTCTCTAAAAAGTACAAACAAAGCAAACTTTTTTTATTCCCTTGTGTAGTAAAAAAAAATTAGTTTAATGTATTTAAATTTTGTAATAAATTGGTAAAATTCCCGCAAAAATGTAAAGAAAAGACAAAAGTGCAACTAATGTACATTTTATTGTGGCAACGTTTGCTCTCCAGGGTTTATCAACCCATTACAAACTTAATGGACCGAGGGAAAAAAGGGCTCAGAGTGAGGTGCAATACTAGTGAGGTACCTTTTGAGTTTACTGGGGTTTAGTAGTTGTAGTGTGACAAAATAATAAAATATGGTAGGCAATTAATTGTACATGAGAAAAAGGATATAAAAGCTATTACTTGGGTAACTAAAAACATTTTTGGACAAATATAGATGGAAAGAGGCAGCTTGTTTCAGTTTTACTCCTGTAATGTGCTTTGTGTGGGAAAACGGGAGGACTATGTGATGCAGGGTTTACTGTTTTAGGGGGGATTTTTGCAAAGATTCGGGATGGTGAAGCTCCCCGTTTTGTTTAATTGTATTCAAAAACAGCGATCAGGCTGTTCGGGGGCCTTTGGGTCTGCGGAAATTTTTTTTTGACCAAATTTTGGGCATTCTGATTTCATGAGTGATTGGTGGAAAATTTGGGTTTTGTAAAAAGGGTTTTGTTAAGTTATGTTCCTCATGCGTAAATGGGGTTTCTTTGAGGCGGGTGTCGAGGTTTTTGTGTTTCCCCTAAAAATTTTGTCACGCCCCCACAGGTTTTTTGTAAACCCCGCTTTGATGGTTCGTGGGTTGGTTTTTTGCCCGGGTTAGATCCTCATTAAAGTGCTAGAAGCGAGGGCGACTCTGGTGTTAGTTGTGAAATACAGTGGACCCCGTTTTAACGATTTTAATCCGTTCCTGAGAGTTTGTTATGCGAATTTCGTTATGCGAATGTTTTTTTCCCCATAAGAAAAAATGGAAATCAAATTAATCCGTCAAGACCCCCAA